AAATAACCGCGTTAAGAAAGGCCGGTGAATGACTGAAATTTCACCAAGAATTTTTTGGTCTTATATCAGACAAAATTAAGACTATTTTTTAAGACACTTTTGGCGCATTTTAACCATAACCGAGGTATGAGTTGAAATCGGACTAAAACAAAAATCTAAGCGGTGACGAGAAATAACGGATTTTTTTTGTTTAATGATAATTTCAGACAAAAACCGTTCACTTTTAGCAAGTAAAAAATATATTTTTCTGGTGTATTTGTGTGTGTTTATACTGAATATGACCTTCATTTTGGGCGGAAATTAGTCGTTTTTTGGCGATTTTTTTTTTCGTTTGACGTTTTCCGAAAAAAAAGTAGCCGACTAAAAAAACAAAACAAAAAAACACTAGAAAAACAAAAACCAAACCTAACCTAACCTAACTGACTCTCACAATATGATGGAATCACCTATTTCTTACCTTATTGGCCTGGTTCTTGTTCGTCGTTGGATTCTGAGATTCTTACCCAACGCCACATATGTTGGTCTTTGCGATATTTACATTCAGTCTTGCTCTTAGTACACTTTACTGAGGTTGGAAGAACACCATGCCATCGAAAAAATGCTATAGTTTCTACGTTTTTTTTTCTCAAAAAAATTGCAATCGGTGACACCCATCGCAGATTTCCATGGTCGGAACTGAACTTGAATTTCAAAATATGAGACCCAAAATAAAACTCGAATTTGATTGGACCAAATATGCTCCGAATTAAACCCAAAATTAATCTAATTGGTTCCAAAAGCAAAAACGCTTTTGATTGGCTGCGTGACGTGTACGGGAACGCATGCACGTGATGATTTATGAAGGAGACGCGAGAGACACGCAGTGTTGGGAGAGAGGCAGACGCTAATGGTGGGAGGTTAATAGAAGAAAATATAAATTTTTTTGGAAAAGCTATCTCCGTTATTATACATTTCCACCAGTAATGTAATAGATGAAAATTATCTAATAATTAGACGTCTTATTCGAATATGATAATAGATTAGTGAACAGTGTGTAAACGCAATAATGCCGATGAAAATCTTGTATGATACTTCTCGCATTCACTCGTAACCGATATCATAATTGAAATCACAACACTACTAAAGCAGCTTTTATTTCATTTGTTGCCACCAACGGAATCTCTGAAATTTTATCTTTGCAAACAATAGTTTAGACAATTCTGACAGTTTTCTTCTATGATGATTATCTCGCAAACGACCTGAAATGGAGATATTTAATATGTTGGGGGGTTTCACGGGGCAGTCCCCTGGTTAAGAAGTTAGGTAAGGTTAAGTAGGTTTGGTTGGTTAGGATAACTTAATTAGTAATATGTGGTTGATAGCACCAGCCAAACCTACCTAACCTTATTATCTTCCTAACTGGGGGGCTCTGCCCTTTGACCCCCCCCCCCACCGGCATATTATATATCTTGGTTTCAGGTCGTTTATGAGGGAAACGTCATAGAAACCTGTCTTAGAATTGTCTAAACTATTGTTTGAAAGGTAAAAATTTCAGAGATTTCGTTGGTGTTAACAAATGCAATAGATACTGTACTGTAATAACTTTTCTTGAAGTCTTCTGATTTTCAACTCACGATATCTTGGTTACGGGTAAAATGTGCCCAAAATATCATAGAAGAAAATCGTCTTGTTATTGTCTCAAATTATCATTACACAAAAAAATCCCTAAACTGTATCTATGTCCGCTACTATAAATTGACCATGTTTTATTTTTAATTCTTACTGATATGGGATGACTCTTCCTGAAGCAATGGTTTGGTCTACAAATTATCATAGAATAAGCTATTCAGCCAAACAGATACATAGAATATCTTGTCACTGACAATGCATTATTTTATGATACAGTACCAACACGACTGAAGACTATACAGTACTGGTCAGTTATGATCTTAAAATGGCGGCCAGCTATATAATGTCTCCACTTCCTTAGAGCTACGAATATAGCGTATGCTTCCTTTTCAACTGACGAGTGCTTCTGCTCACAGTTAGAGAGAGCCCGTGAGAAAAAGGCAACAGGGAGCCCATTCTGAGTCACATTAGCAGCTCTTGCATGCTCAGAAGCATCCACAGTGAATGGACTAGCAGAATCTATGGCTTGGATCATTGAATCAGCAACATCCATCTTTAGGGTTTCAAAGGCTTAAACAGCAGTGGGAGGCAAGGGATATCCATTGGCATGGGTGAATCTTCTGAGAACTGTGGTATCCAGCAAGAATAATGAGCCAACATCCCCATAGTCCTACAGAGGGAGGCAGGATCTTTTGGCAGAGGCAGTTTCACCAGAGGCTCGAGACGTTCAGGGTCGGGACATATCTCGCCTTCGGATACAGCACACCCGAGTAACTTGATGGAGCATAACCGAAAGTCACATTTGTCTTTGTTTAGAGTAAGGTTATATTTCTCAGCTACAACCATGTAACGCTTCAAATTTCTGTTATGTTCACCTTCTGTCTTCCTGCATACAGTTATGTAGTCAATGTAGGCATAGGTATCCTTTAGTCTTTCTCTCTCAATAATTCCATAAATCACATGCTGGAAACTTGCCACTCCATTAATAACCCCAAAAGGGATTCTGTTGAATTCATAAAGCTTGCCTCCTGCCTCAAATGCCATGTAAAGTTGTTCTTCCTCTTTAATAGCTATTTGATGGTAGACACGTCTCGAGTCAAGGGTACTGTACACATCGTATCTGGCAACCTCATTCACCATGTCTTCGATTCTTGGCAGGAGATAAGCATCCAGCTAAGTGTATCTGTTGATGGTTTGTGAGTAGTCAATCACCATTCTCTTCTTATGATTTTCCCCAGCTATGACTAACACTTGAGCTCTCCAAGGGGATTTACTAGGCCTGATTAATCCGTCCTTTAACATCCTGCTGATTTCTATGTTGATAAATTCCTTATCAGGCTCCAAGTACTGTCTTGATTTAATAGCGATGGGATTGCAGTCAGAAGATACGTTACCGAAGAGAGATGGAGGGGGCATCTTCACCTCCACTAGCCCTTCTATGACACTTGTAGCATTCACCACCTGTTCCAGGGATCAGTGGTTTGATTCTTGGGTGCTCCCAGTTCACCCAGCTGTAAATGGGTACCTAAGTTTACAACCCAGGAAAGTGAAGGCGGTTGTGAACAGTACCAGCCATGCTGCCACTTGTACTGAAGGGTTAGTACAGTACTGTATACAGTATGCTGTATCTACACTGTCACTAACGGGCTGTCATGTCTTTGGGATCCACTTTCATTTTTTCACCCATAACCAAGATATCGTGAGTTGAAAATCAGAAAATTACAGTACCGGTAATGTACTATAAAAATCATAAGCAGTGGCGAGAAATGGCTGGATTTTTTATATTTAATAATAATTTCAAAGAAAAACAAGACAAATTTCCTCAATGACACTTTTCTCGTATTTACCCATAAGTTCAAACTGAGATATCATAAGCTGATAATCAGAAAACTACTGAAAAAGGTATTACTGTACTGTTGCTAACAACAGAATGTCTAGAATTTTATCTTCGCAATCAATAGCTTAGAGTCTTAGACAATTCTAAGACACTTTTCTTCTATGACATTTTCCTCACAAACAACCTAGAACTAAGATATTTAATATGCCAGGGCCCAAGTTAGCACATTAGGTAGGTTTGGTTGGTTAGGATAACTTAATTAGTAATATGTGGTTAATACAACAATAAATACTATTGTACCATTACTTCTATACATTACATAAACAATGGACCAGCAAAATAGGCCAAAACAGCCTGTCAGGCTATTTTGCCATGACAGGTAATTTAGCCAATGCCTTTGATCTGCATTCTTAATGCAATAGTTGACAAGGGAAGCTGGAGACCCAATTACAAACTCAAATTCTTCATGATACAACCGAATCACAACACTTGAAGTCTTGAGTCAACTTGTGATATGTCATATATCAATACAGTATAGAAATTCTATACCGTGTTTATTATATTTACCAAGAGAGAATTACAATACAGGCAGTCTCAAATTTATGAAGGTTTGGTGTACAAAAATCCAAGTTACGAAAAAATCCCAAGGTTTAATTTACAAAAAAAAATAAAAATCCGAAATTACGAACATTATTTTTGCCATTTTTATAATTGTTTCCTAAGTACAGTAATAATGAAAATATTCTAAAATAAGGTACAGTACTTGTACAGTTGTATGCTTACTTACTTCATTATTCTCCAACACTCCCAATGAACCTTTTTGTATGTCGTCAAATTCCTACAATCATCATATAACTTACTCCTCAAACTCACTGAGGATAAGTAGACTTATCTCCACCAGCAGTCACTCAGCAAGTTGCCACACTGTTCAATTTCTCCTCAATTACTGTACTCTAATTTAATATGAGGCAAATTAAATAAAATAAATTACTGTACTGTATTCTATATATTTTTAATTTATACTGTATGCTAATTACGTAGTACAGTACAATAAGATATAGGTACGGTATACAATTGTAACAAAGTTTAAAATTTGGAAGTGGACAAAAGTTTGGAGGTGTGGATATTACCAGCAATGCATGAGAATGCAAGTGCAGCATCAGCTGACTGAGCATTTGCACCGGTAAAATTTTGGTTTCGGTCATTTGGGAAGCATAAGTAATTTAACTATTGGAATAAGTAGTTTAGACATTTCCAAGACACTTTTCTTCTTTGACATTTCTCTCACAAATAACCTAATTTAACCTAACCAGGGATCCCCCCCCCCCGACCCCCTTGCATTTGTGTTACTTGCGAAATAAACGTCTTAGAAGAAAAGTGTCTTTGAATTGTCTAAACTACTAATTTCAATAATCAAATTCCTAATATTCCCCGGATGACCGAAACTAAATTAATAACTTTATACCAAGTGGCTACTGCATATCTTAAATACACTATTTCTTTAGATTGACTTTTTATAACAAAGTGAAAGAACTAATCACTGTACAGTACTTACCGAGTAAGGAAATCTGTGATTCCTTTCTTCTTGGTCTTGCCATCGTTATCAGTAAGCACAAAGTCTCGTAAAGATCCAGTGTCAGACTGGTGTGAGCCAAGACACACAGCACTGTCTGAAGCTGAATATGCAGATAACTCAGTGTTGGAACTTGATAAACTGGAGAAGGAACTGGCATCTGTGATGGAAAGAGAGTTGTTTGTGCCAACCCGTTGAAGACTGCTTCTTGGACTTTCATAGTTTCCTCTCTCTAAAGAAGAACTACCACTGACATTACCTGACTGTGGTGTACTCTTGTCAATCAACCTGACAGTTTCTCCATTTTCATCAACCTCTTGAATAATCTCTAATGATTTAGGTATGGAAGTTATATCACCCGCATCAGGACTTTTCAATAAAGCTTCTTTCTGAGATTCTTCACCCTTCTCTTTTAATTCAGAGTATCCCTTATTGGAGTCTAACTTCTGTTTTTCAGGAGGAATGTCAAAGTTATAGTTATCAAGTATATTTGTGTTGGACATCCTTTTGTTGGAGGAGTCGTTTTGGACTCTCCTGGAAGTTCCAAGACATAACTGCCTTGTCGAGGGATCATATACTAATGGCAACGATTCTAACAATGTATCTAGTGATACATGGTGACTTGGCAACTCTGAAACCTTGGAACACATCTCAGGTTCACTATTCTCTTGCCTTATATCAGAATTCTTGGGTGTATCACACTCCTCATATCTGTCTGTATTCAAAGATTTGGGGAACAGAGAAGATGAAATTTGAGTTTCTTCACCTCGTTCATGGTTTTCAATACCATTAACAGACCCAGAATTATTCTTATTGTTTGTCCCAGATGTGAGTAGTTTTTTTCTTAGGTTTTTAAGTTTTCTTGGTCGACCGGGCCATGTACAAAACCAGCTTTCTGCAACCCTTTGCCCACCCGTGGGCAAAAAGGGCGACTCTTCTGAGATGCACCCTGATATGGATGTCTCTGGTACATCACTTGTTGCTCGAGATGCACCATTAATTGCGCATGTGACTTTGCTAACATTTAGAGCTACACTTGGGTTTTGGTTAAGATCATCTGGAAGACTTGCTGAAGTATTTTCTGGTACGAATCCAACACACTGAGAAATATCATAATTATTTACTTGTTTCTGACGACTCCATCCACGAGGAAATCCGTGTCCAGACCCGTTGTTACCTGATTTTAATTCACTTTTAATACCACTGTCGGACTTCCTTGAACTATGAAATCTAGCGAGTAGTGACTGTGCTTTGAATGATTCTGATTTAAATGGTAATCGAAGAGAAACTTTAGGGACACTGCTTCGGGCCGAGTTGGAATCCTTTAGAAGCACATCAGCTGTTTCATCGTTTTTACCAATACTTCTCTCATTAAGACAATGGTCGTTTTCAGTCGTATCGTCCATTTCTTTAGGAACACGAGCGTTTCCAAATCAACGTAAACTATCTATTACTAAGACCAATATAACACAGTAGTTGGAGTAGCGTCTGTTCCCACACCATTGTGTTGTTGTGCACTGGCCTGGTGGTGCCATCTGTCCTACCCCATGTAAACAACTATCAACTACCTTTAAACATTAATATTTCTACTTAAAATTGACACACATTATTTCTTTATGATTAAATTTAGTTATAAAATAAACCATAATTTTGATTCACACATAAAATACAACTTTATTATCGACAAAATGAATACCCTATTTTATTATGACGTCTTGTGATAAATATTCCCATATCATGTACTAGATAACATTGTTTAATATTTCGTTAGTAGGAATGCAATAATCCTCTAATTAGAAATAATCTTAAATTACATCATTAATATTTTAAATTTATTTACATTTATTTCTGAGATATTAGACGGAGAAACTATATAGGTGGAAAAATAATAAGTTGTAAGAGAGATATGTAACACAATATTTAGAGGTTCTTAAATGCGAAACACTATTAAACCTTCAAATACCAGAATGAAGATTATCGTTAATATTTATCCTGTGTGGATGTATTTGTGACTAATGTAGACACTGAACATTTTCATTTGGTCCCTTTTTGAAGTTTTATATATATAAGCCATATCTGATGATAATAAGAAGTGCAGTTAATATTATGAGTCGCGTAATGTTTTATTTGTATTTCGCGAATATAAACCTCAGTGTTCATGTCATAAGAATAATATTTCATTTATGTATATTATTATTATGTCATATTATTCATTTTAAATAAAAAAGTATTTCCACAAAAATTTTTAAGGAATTGATATTTACTTTGAATATTGTTTATCTTTATCAACTTCCATGGTAAATATCTAAAATTATCTATAATAACTTCAAATTAAATACACAATTACGAAATATATTCTTAAAAACCTTAAATACTGATGATTACTAAAAATTCTCCCAAGTAGTAGGAGTGAATGGGTTGGTTTTCGCCGTTCAGTAGGACCTTTACGTCACCAGCCTGAGAGAGACAGAGTGAACAGGTTATGATTTACAAGTGTGAATGATCTTATATATTATAGGAATATTATCAGCATCACCATGACAGTACCGATTGAGGCCATATACAGTAGAAATAGGTGAGTTTTTTCAGATGAGGAGATTGTGTTTTTTGATAGTTATAGGGTTAATAAATATAGCCAGCAGTGGAAAGAAGCCAAATAAAAATAAGATTGTGGTATTTTATGTGTTGTGGATTTTGGACTGAACTTCTAACTATTCCGTTTTTATTTTCTACTACCTCTTACCATGGGCTAATTTACCGTGAATCTTAACTCCTTGGATATTTTACCATGAATCTTCAATCCACTAGGAGTTTTATCATGAAAAACTGATCAATGTATAGACTGGCTTCTGAACTGCCCAGTGGTGCAAGGATAAGTAATAGTAACTAAGGTAATAGTTGAGCAGACGGCTAACACCAGAAGGAGTTGTTCAATTATGTTAAAAATTTGGTAAAATTTTAGTTTGTCATCCCTGTATTTAGATATCCAAGTTAACCTAGCTACAGAACCCAGGAACTAAATCTGACCTGTGAAAATGCTGGCAACTTTAAAACTACCCACAGACATTCTTGAGTGCTGCGTGAGGTGGTGCAATCAGAGTTACTGGGAGTTACCTCCTTAAAACATCAAGTTTAATGTGCAGTGCAATTCCTTTATGGAATCTTTTAGCACCACTCATCTTTAATAAGGGTACACAGTAACACAGTCCTGAACACAGATGCAAAACTGAACACAAGCTGGTGAATGATTTCAAACTGAGCATGATGTCAGATTAGGTTAAATAGGTTTGGTGAGGTTGGGTTGGTTCATGTTTATCATCATCACCAATATCATCTTTCATCTTATGACCAGTTCCTACAGCTACTTGGGTTAGTTACATAGCTTGTCAAAAATGATTTAGCCCCATAAATCTAGCCTGATTGCAAAATAGTTGTTATATGAATGTATAATACTGTTTTTTTTTTTCATCCAAGCACAAGCTAAGGTGCCTAACCTTTCTTCCTTATCAAATTTGTGTTCAGTGAATTAAATCAAGATTGGCCTCAAAGATTTCATCAGAATACTTTCTGGAAAAATATCTCATTTTTCTAAACCACTTTTTTGTTATTAAGTTTACATTTTATGCAGTCAACTAAGATTACTGAGTAGGTCCCATTGTTGCTGACCAGTTTCTACAGATTTTATTTCCCATTGGATTTGCAATTTGTGTAATTGTTTATGCTCTGTGTGAAATTTGGGATTTGACTGGTGAAACATTATCTGCAGAGTGAATCTGAACCCACTTAGGTAATCAGCTGAGGCGTACAGAATTAATGTCATGAAGATATATTTCGTTACATGCTGTTTTAGGGGGAATGCAAAAAAACAAATATTCATAGCCCATTTTTGTGGCAGATTTTAAAAAAAGAATCATTGCTGGTGGTCAGGCTCTTGAACTCCTTACCAGTAAAAATGCTGCTAAAGAGTGAAAAGAAATATAGGGGTTGAGCTAAACTGAACATATACCCATAGACTGTGGTGTTTCGCCCAGACATGGTTTCATTTTTATAGCATCCTGCCAAAAGTGTGAGGTAATCCTCTTGCTACTGAATCAATGGATCAGCACCTGTTGGCTACCTTGAATCATAGCAGGAAAAGGTGTTAAAGCTTATACTGTATACATGAAGACAATTTATTCTGCACACAGCAAATATTTACATGTATAGTACTGTATATATATTTTTCAATATTTTTCTTTAAAGTTTATTCGGTGAATAACTACAGTATGTCATACAGGTTTCCCAGTGGACCCAGCCTACTGTTCCTGCTCTTGTACACTCCCCTGGGCATTGTTCTCCTCTTGCTCCGACTGTTTATATCTCTACAGTTATTTTTAGCAGCATCTGTACTCCCTCACAACACCATCATTAGAAGGTAAGAATCAATCCCTAGATGTATTAACTGTACCCAAATTATTCTGCATAATTTTTACCTTTACTGCTACTTAAACATTGAGATCTGCTTATTAAGGATGAGACCAAGGTCCTATTTACTCTGTGTGTGTGTGTGTGTGTGTGTGTGTGTGTGTGTGGTTTTTTTTTAGGCAGTTGGACCTTAAAGAATAAACCGAATAAACCGTCTTTGCAGTGCAGTATTCTTCTTTTTTTTTCTTTTCTTTTTTAAAAACAAATACTGTACTGTACCTCTAAATGGAGCAAGAGGACTTTTGGTTAGAAGCCCCGTCCAAGGTGCTGAAAGCTTTGTATATACAGTAGACAGTGTAAGACCTACAACTGTCTATAAGAAGCAGTGTTGCATGAGTGACGGGAATATAATCAAATGAATATTGATTAGAAGTAAATGCAATTAATAGATAGATGTATTTGGGGAGATTGAAATGCTCTTAGATGTGTTAGATCTGGTACAGTCCATGCCACTTATAAGCCACACAGACTGGAGGCCTCAAAATCTCTAACCGGTAACATCATGGATAGGTTTTAGAACCAGAAAGAATGCATTTTCTCTCTGGTTCTAAAACCTATCCATGCTAATGTGTTCAGGGATAAACATTGACTTTACACATTGGCTGGCCACTGATTAATTGCCTGATTTGTATGTTTCAGGAGGTGGGGGGGGGAGATGGACCCAATGATGTTACCGGTTAGAGATTTTGAGGCCTCCGGTCTGTGGCTTATAAGTGGCATGGACTGTATCTGTGATACAAAAGTGAAATGAAACATTTAATGTATGTAGGATGAAAGAAGAACAGAAGTGAAAGAGAATGTCCCTGTCAGCTTTACTGAATACCGTGGTTGGTACAGTAAAACGATGTACACAGCCAGTCCCCGACTTATGACAGGGATACATTCCTGGAGCCTGATTGTAAGTCAATTTGTTCGTAATGTAAATTTTTTAAATAAAGTAATGTTAAACAATATAGAATACAGTATATTCTCGGTTTACGCAGTCAATTAAATCCGTGGAGGTCCGCGTAAAACGAGAAACGCATAAACGAAATAACAGAATATATGGGATTAATTGAAATAGAGACTGGGCCAACCCCCAGACTACCCTTTTTCTGACTCAATACGTACGTTGTAGTAAAAATAACATCTTAATTTTATGATGGTATGCACACATATTAATATTTAAGAGAAATATCAATAATATTAGGTTTTTTAACACTTACATTAGTAGAAGAGATGGCTGGGCACACAGGGATGGGGGGTTGGTTCCGAGGCAGAGGGCAGATTATTGGCCTTCACCTGTATCACTTGTATCACCTGTATCACTATCCACCACAGAGGCTTGCAGGGCCTTTTTGTCAAACCCCTCAAAGTCCATGTCCTCACTATCACTGACTTGGGCTGGCTGTGGTGGGTGGCGGGTGAAGAACTCGGTAATGTTTTGTTGACTGGGCGACCTAGTGTGCACCCTGCCTGCGCCACTTCCCGCGTAAATGATGGAATGTACAGCGTAACTAATAATTGCTGGTCTGGCCAGGTGCCGAGTAAAGGAAATCCGCATAAATCGAGACTATACTGTAATGAAAATAATGTAAAAAATTGAATTTTAATTACAAATTTTTGTGATGAATGTATTGGGACCCAGTTTGTAAGTGCAGATGATTTTAAGTCAGGTGGTCGTAACTTGAAGACTGCCTGTATAGCATATTAAATGTGGATACTCAAAACCACAAATGATAAACCCTAGAATGGCGAGGAATTACTGTAATAGCAAAAATTTTAAAAGCTAAAATTAAGTGAAGGGAATGGCAATAAGCAGAAGGGAAAACTGAGAAAGTAAATAGATGAAGGATGGAATATTTTAATTTCTTTTAGTATCTTAAGAAGACAACATAGATCGAGCTAATCTGGCACTTCAGCTTTTAATTTTGTCAATAGGAAGTACTTAATTGTTTACAGAATTGTGTTGCGGGCGCTTTATTCTGTTTTGGGATTGGTTGTTCGAGAAGAAGCCCTGGAAAATAGAGACACCTCATGTCGTATCATCTCAACCAATCACATCACACCATTTGACCATCTAGCAGTGTCCATTGTCCTGCCATGTGTTACTGTAAGTATAGGTTTTATTATTTATATATCCAATTAATATCCCTTTTTACACTTCCATGAGTACATGCAGTTAAAAATTTGAATACCTTATCATTACAGTACAGTACTGTGCAATACAGTACCTACCGGTATACAGGTATTTATGACTACTGTATGTATACAGTCCTTTTTCTGCTATATGTATACTGTAGTATGATTTGTATTGCTCTGTGGTAAAGTGTTTGTCAGCTGAAAGTCTACTTTACTTAATAATTATTCAAATTTTTTTTTGGGGGCATTCTAAATACTGTACATGATGAAATTTAGGAATGCCGTGCATAGTATAGGATAATTTTATTTGATTTTATTTCCACATGATGTATTAAGTAAGAGTAAAGTTAACTCGGCCATATATATATATATATATATATATATATATATATATATATATATATATATATATATATATATATATATATATATATATATATATATATATATATATATATATATATATATATATATATATAGTGGTCCCTCAGTTACTGAACACAATTCGTTCCAGAAGGTCGTTCGTTAACCAAAAATTTTGTTCACCGAAACCATTGTTTCACTGGGATTTGGGGTAATTGGTTCCAGCTCACCGAAAATTACATACAAAGTAAAAATAAATGCAGTAAAGTACACTTACTTTGAGGTGTGTATGTAGAAGGCTCCTGGTTGATGATGATGATGATGGGAATTAGAAGTGGGGGGGGGGAGGAGAAGGGAGAAGAGAAGGAAGTGGGGGTGGAAGAGAAATCACCCCATGCTTGATGCCGTCATTTCACCCATAAAATTTTAAGTTCACTAGGTGTAACTCAAGATTATTTTCTTTAAATCAACACTGCACTGCACTATATATTGTCAATATGTTAAATAAATTTCAGAATGACCAATAATTGTACTGTAAAAACGTAAAAATAGTTTATGTTCAAGAGAGTCTCAAGCAAGATGTTACCTCTACTGACCAGAGATACAAACTGACGCCTGTTTGGTGAGTTGAGTGGCTGTTTGGCGCACTAAAAACTAGTTTCTTGTACTTCAATTACGTTAAATAATTGTTAAAATGACTAAAAAATTTAATATAAAACTTGGAAAATTATTGAATAATACAACCTTCTTGATATTTACTCAAATGGGAACGAATTTAAGCCCTAGAACCGATTACTGTATTGGCGGACTAATATTCCAGCTGGTGAGCAAGCGAAAACACGTTGAGAGGAATTTGTTAACCGAATTGATATTCTTATGGAAGGTAACTCGTTAACCGAGGCGTTCGTTAACCGAGGGACCACTGTATATTGTATTTTCCTGGAGATTGATTACTAATGAACTGGATTAAGTAGTCTGCTTTATATTGGTTTTGTTTTTCAGCCAAGTGTATATGACCTTCCTGGAGCATTGTCAACACTACTGTGCTATCATGACCTTGGAGTAACACAGGGTAGAGAGGTGCTCCGTTTCAATGCCCGCACCTTTCTTAGTGATGCAAATAGCCCACCTTTACTTTTGCACCCAGAAGGTGCAACCACTAGTGGTACCTTGGCTCTAATGAAGTAAGTCAAATAAGTTGGTCTTTCATTTGCAGATTATTTGGTTTTCAAATTCATTTGTATTTGTATACACAGTACTGTAAACCATCAATTTACATAAGTGTTTATTTTTCACAATGTATGTAACACATCACTAACCTCTGCACGGTAAAAAATTGAGTGGTGGTTCTTTAAATTACAATAGAGTCCTGGAAATCAAGTTATTACCTTCAGAAGAAAATATTGCCATGTATTATCATTATTCTGACAACTAGACAGCTCTATGTACATTAACCCTCTTGTGGTCTTTCGACGCAGATTGCGTCGCTTAGTGCTCCCGTGCTGGCCCGACCCCTCCAACTCAGCCGTATCTCACACGGAGTGCACCCCTCCCGTAAGCAGAAACATTAGAACACTGGATCGGTAATATCAACCACTTAAGTTCCTCCCACTAGCTTTGTGGGTTGGCAGATGCATCTCTAAGGGTGTAATTTGGGTCTGGATTGCTTTACTCAATGCTTACTAAAAATGTAAAAACTGTTCCTGATACAGATGGAACTTGCATCGAAGACTACAAGGAGGTGAAATTGTAAATGACGTCATTTATAGCAAAAGACCGTGAGGGGTTGAGATTTCCTACCTTGGCCAGGAGTACCAGAGGGTTAAAGACATTCTTGTCCTTTATTAAAATAGTATTAATTACATTTGAATAACTATTATGTAGTACAGCTCCACTGCAGTATACCCCCACAGTATTTTAGTAATGTCACAATTGTTGCTGATGATATTGCCAATTGCATTGTTTGTAGACTTTATTCCTCTGCCAACTTGAAGTTGAGGCACAGTCCTTTCTGTTGGAGCTAAATAACAGGATCGGGCAAGAGGATGCCTTCCTGTCCTCATGCCTGGAGGCTACTGTCCTGCCTTTCAAGAAGACTGGAAAAGAGGGTCTTCACTCGCTTGAATATAGCCCTATAGCTCTAACCTCCTGTATCTGCAAGCTGTTTGAAAAAAATGGTCAACTTGCCATTAGTATGCTTATACTACCTGGTGAAGAATGCCCTTCTTTCACCATATCAATATGGCTTCCAGAAGAAGCATTCAACAACAAATGCTCTTGTTCGTCCTGAGGCCTCGGTCTGTGAGGCTTTTGCTCGTCGACTTAAGAGAAAGCATACGACACAGTGTGGAGATTTGGCATCCTTAAAGAGCTTCATGATTTTGGATTGCAGGGAAATTTACCATCAATAATAGGTAAGTTTTGGGGACATCGCACTTTTAGGATCCGCGTTGCCACAGAAATATTACCACCACACATTCAAAAGAACAAGCTTCCTCAGGGCAGTGTCTTGAGTGTGACCCTATTTGCCATTGCAATAAATGGAGTCGCAGCACCAGTTCCAGGTGGTGTATCAATCTCATTGTATGTAGACTACTTGACCATTTGGTATGCAGCTTCCTGCATGTCAGTGGCTGAACGTCACATACAACTTACATTAGACAAGGTTTCACGTTGGACCACAGAGCATGGTTTCAGATTTTCTCCCTTGAAAACCATTGCCATGCATTTCTGCCTCCTTTGAGGTGTTCACCCAGATCCCGATCTACAGCTCTATGGTCGTCATGTGCGGTGTGTCACAGAGACCTGTTTCCTGGGTATTATCTTTGACAACCGGTTTACGTGGCAGCCACATATTCGTTATCTCAAAGAGTCTTGCCAGCGTGCTCTCAAGTTATTGAGTCTTGGGGCACACAATGTGGGTTGCTGACTGAGGAACTCTGCTACACCTTTACTACATGCTAGTTAGACCCAAACTGGATTATGGGTGTGAGGTGTACTCCTCAGCCACTGAGACTAGACTCAATACACTGAACTCTATTCATCATGCTGGGGTGCGACCGGTGCCTTCAGGTCTTCTTCAGTCCCATGTGTGCTAGTTGCTGCTGATGAGCCCCCCTTGACCTTAGATGACAGTACCTGTATCTCCAGGTCCAGTATTGGTTTCACCTCCACTGTCTTTCGCAGTCTGTAACCAACACTTTTGTAGCTGACGAGACTATGTCACCACACTGCAGTAGGCATCCAGGCCTCCCACGACCTTTTGGCTTCAGGGTAAGGGAAATCGTTAGAATTTTTTTGTCTTCCGCCTGTTCAGATGCCCCATGCGGTTCCCTAGTGCCGCTCCGTGGATTCTCCCTGAAATTCAAGTTTGTCAGTATTTTAAGGAAAGGAAGGACTTACTCCTCACACTTCTGGGTTTCTTCCTCTGGGGTCTCCTAAAAGGTTCTTGAAAAATCTTGGTAGATGACACATACTTAAGGTGACTCCAGAGGAAGAAGTCGAGAGATGTGAGGTCTGGACACCTTGGTGGTCATTCAATTGCACCTTGCCATCCAACCTTTGTTGATTTGTCAGGATTTCCTCACTGAGAGTCTGAGACACATGCCGCAGGACACCCACTCACAGACGTTCGACCACATTGGTGCGGGATTTTCCAGACTTTTTTTTTTTTTTTTACAACATTTGTGGTGAATAAAGGGGCAATCCAAAGAGCCTGGAAAAAGTGAATTCCGATATATTGAAGTCCAGTTTATCGAGGTTTTACTGTACAGGTAACTCGCGTTTGATTTAAGCATTTTTGGAATAACGAGATTATTCAATTAATGCCAAAAGCTAATTTACGCGAATCTATTTTTGAAATAACACGCTCAAGACAGTTTAAATTTGGCGCACGTATTTGCCTGGTCACCTTGCAGTGGAGTCACGTGTGATGCCTGGTGAGGTGCTTGTAAGTTATTACTATAAAGTCGCAGTCATATCAACATCAAGGATTTTAATATTATTATTATTAATAATAATAATTATTATAATAATAAAGATTATTGCTACTAATGATGAAGATAATGATGATAATTAAGTATTCTGTACAACAACTGTGACGACGTCCAGCAAGCTTCCCGCATATCGCTTTCTCAGTTCACACCAGCACTACTTTTTCTCTGTGCTCTCATTTGCATTGTGTGTTTATCATGTACCTTTTTAGTGTTAAATGCTGTTTTCCCCATTGAGCATGTCTGGAAAACATCCATCTGCCTCCTCTGGGGCGCCTAAAGCTAAAAAGGCACGAAAAACAATCGCAAAGGACTTGAAATTAAATGTGATCACCTGCCTTCAGAGTGGAGAGCGTGTGTCGGAGGTTGGCTGCGTGCTTGGTCTAAGTGAGAGCACTGTTCATACCCTGTGCGGTATATGATGGTTCCCCTAACCTGTACCATTTACATGTATTCTTATGGGAAAATTATGTTTAATTTATGCGTTTTTGATTTAAGCGGTGGTTTTCAAGAACGTAGCCCCCGCATAAAACGAGAGGTGGGTGTACATGCCTTTCTCAGGACAGATACTGTAATCACTTTTCCTTTTCAGTGAAGATGTCTCCTGTGAAAACCATAGATTGTATGCTGTTACTGGTAGACTATGATAATGTTGGTTCTTTAATTACTGTCTACACAATTATAAATTTCTCTCATCAGATATGGGACTTGGGCCTTTGAACTTAATGGGTCAGTCCTTGTAGCAGGCATCCGTGTGTGGCGTCTTCCACTCCTTCCTGTGGCACCCTCTATCCTGGGTGCCTCATGGGCTGCTGACCTGTGTTTTATGCTCTTTTCTCCCGTCACAGTATTTACTATTAGGTATGATATTAAAGAATTTTTTAATTTTTTAATTTAGTGTAAAATTAAGGTACCCCTGATGCAAATTTTATTGCAAGAATTGGCACTAAAGAAGTTATACATTGTATGGTTTGGCGTGAGATAAATGTACAGTGTATATCAGGTGCCTACAGGAGAGCTCAGGTTCTCAACTGGCTCTGCCATGTTAATATAGTTATTATTATCTACTCTGTATCTGTGTTTTTCTGGCTAAATAAACTGTTTCAATTCATTTCAAGTAGTGTTAGTGTGAAATATGAATGAATACTAAGTTACAGTACAGTAGTCTTCATTATACATCAGTGATGTGTTCCAGAGAAAAGCCACTTAAAATAAAGTGTTTTATATCTGACGCATATAGGGACCGGGAAAAGTTGTTGGTTAGTGAATCAATGGTTATCGAAGCAATTAATCCCATAAGAATATAACAAATTCAGAGGGTTAGGGACCAGCCACCCTCTGAAAATTCCCATCAACATGCAGTACATACAAAAACATATTTACAATACAGGTAAAGGAAATTACTGTCTCTAGAACGAATGGCTCCATGTCCCAGCAGCGAAAATGCCAGCAACTTTGAAACTACCCAGAGACATTCTTGGGTATATCCAGGGTGTCATCCGCGAATAACCGAGAACAGCGAAGTAAAAATCCACGAACTTGGGGGGGCCCCCTGTACTACCGCATGGGAAGATATTGGAAGCATAATGTGTTGTCTAATGTGCCTGGGTGGGCTAATCCCCCCCCCCCCAAAAAAAATACTGTGTATTTAAAGTTTAACTTTAAATCAATAATCTTAAATTGAATCGCTTTAAATCGACGTTCTACTGCATATGGATTGCTTTTATAAATTATATTGTTGTTAAGTGTTCTATCATATGTGAAACTAATTTCTTACAGTCTATCAATAATATATAAGATTGGAAGGCTCCACAGATGGCTTAGGAATTTACAGCTTGCTCATCCCCATGACAGACACCATTGTCATGCTTTATATATGTTAAAGTGGGGTGCTATTGACATAATTGCTTTTCCTTCTATTCTTGTTTCATCAATTTTGAAATTTTTAAAGAAAAGGGAATGACTGCTATGGAATTTGCCATTAAAAGTACAGTACAGTGCGTACTGCATATCAGTTAAGAGGTTTTTTATGTTAGAGCTGGTGGATCCAGAGAAGGTTAAAAAGGTGACTCATTGGTAACACTGCCATTATATCTAGAGCATAATAAAGTTGACTCTGTCATGTGGATTGAAAGTGAAAATGAGTCTTGCAGTCTTGACGGCCAATAAGGGGCAGTGCAGATATGGCTTACAGTAGATTTAAACCTTTTATTCAGTAAACAATGAGGCAGTATGCCTAACTTCGCTCAACCACCTTTCCCCAACTGTCTTGATGCCTCTACAATTTCACAGGGTGAACTTTGGGTGCCCAGGGCACAGACCAGTGACCCCTAAGGACATGGGGCAATTGCTGTATCCACCCGACCACCTCACCTCACATGGGGATCAGTGAACTGTAAGATCAAAAGCCATAAGGTTGCCTCTCAATTACAGTACAGTACTGTACTTTTATGTGACTTCAGGATTTATTTTCTAATTTTTACCCACAGATATATTGGGAAAATGAAAAGAGGTGAAAGTGAAACTTCGGAGGAATTTGCTGCTCGTGTCCAGGTGGCTACAGCAGTTGCTCTCAGTGTTAAAACTTCTAACCACACAGTAGCTGACAAGGTGAGACCTAAGATGATTCACAGTTAGGTTCAGGAGATATATAGATAAGGTCTTCAATAGTAATTGGTTTCATTCAATGTTATCTAAATCATCTTTATACTAAGATATTTTTATGAAAACTTTTGATTATTTGTTAATCAGTTTTCAATAAGAGGTGAGTATAGATAATGCTTTCGGTCAGTGGTTCTCAACTTTTTGCATGTTACGTGCCACTAACCAAAATGTCAAAAACTGATCTCACCATGATAAAAACTAAGCTTGACTTTCCAATGATGCATCTTTACATTTACACGCATTTTAGTATTAGGGTTACCAATAATGGAAATTTTTTAAAGGTATTGGAAATTGCAAAGGTTTTTGCTAAAAATAATGTTATTGCAAAATTGTAAAAAAAAAAAGAGAGATTATGATTTAGTCATTAGTGAGAAGCCTCTGATTGCATTTCATTGGCAAACATGTCATTTCTTGGGGCGGTATTTGATAGGGCAACTCAAAGAGCTGCTCTGAGTTGAAAAAGGTTTCTTTATAGTTAGTATGGCAGAGAAGACTAACTCATAAAAATATGTGGAAGAAAAGGGTAGTACAGGTACACCACCGATTTTCCGGGAACTGATGGTCCGGCACCTCCTTTAGTCCGGACAAAATTATGAGGGCCCTTAACTTCCCTCCCTCCCTCCCAGCCAGGGTGAAGGTAGTTTTAGACTTAAAGTTTTTATCTTATAAAATGTAGCTGACTAGACTTAGCAGAATATAAATTGCATTGCTGGAATCCTTGTAAGCTAGTGATTAATTTGAGTATAAACATCACATTGTTTGCACAAGAGATAAAAAAAAATTTAGTGTAGTACATTTGAGTACAAAGTGTGTACAGTAATGTTGCTCAAAATTATGGCTTTTTCACATTTAATTTACATTTAATATTTGCTTAATTTAAGTTTCTAGCGGTCCATGGTGCTTTAGAGACAATGTGGTTGTATAATTAGTGGGTCAGAGATGTATTGTTCAATTATTATTACCTGACCTCAGTTGGCTTGGCAAAATGGATAATCCGGCAAGGCTTTGGAACCAAGGGTGCCGGAAAATCGGTGGTGGACCTGTAGTATCTTATTAGCTTTATTACCAGGAAGTATTAAAAGGCAGACTCTTGAATAATTCTTTCGATGTTGGATCACTTACTAATTCACTGAAACTGTCCTGTGAGACAAAGTGACAGCTAATTTCTTTTACTGCCAGAGTGAATAAACATTGCACACAAAAATCCAATCTGAGGTTCATCTTCAGATGGAAAACATTGATTACATTTTGCCTGAAGTTTATCTAGATATATTCTGAAACAAGCTTAGCAATATTATAGATGTCACATTTTGTGTTTCCTGCTACGTCTGAAAGGCAGTGAAACATTTCAAATACTGATAGCTCTTCCCCCCTCAATACCATTTTTTCCAATCTTTCAACTTATTTTGAAATCCAATCAGTATCATTGAATAAACCTGCTTCTTAGATTTATTTTGAACCAAGAAATGCAGATAGGACCCGCAAGTATTCACAGGTTGAGAAACATTGCTGTGGGTGCTTACTTAAACTGCTCCAGTTGTAACTATAAAATTAGTTCTATCAAAAATTAGGTCAAGAGGTGCATGAACCTAAATGTGGAGGGGAGGAGAGCCAGGGATAGGCCAAGAATTACATAGAAAGAGGTTGTAAGCAATGACATTAAGAGTTAAAAACCTGACATGCAACAAGAGACCATCTGGTAACCACGGCTAAACCATGCAAGTGGAGAAAAATGGCCATAAAACGATGATGATAATGAAAAATCCTTATTTTAATAATGGATACGAATATTACACTAATTTTGTTTGCTGCAGTTTTTACAACGGTTCATGAAGGATATTGTAATTTTTTATATAGTGGACTGTATTTATGTATTTACTGAATATACAGTATTTTCTCGATTTAACAAACTAATTCAAGCCACCCCTTTGCGTTAAATTGAAATTTCTGATAAATCAAATTTCCGTTATTTTCGCTCGATTTAGCGAACTAGTTCACTAAATCGAGTGTGCTTCTAATAAATTCCGCGCCAAATGTGCCACTCGGCGCGTGGGGTTTGTTTACATCCAATCAGTCTGTGTCCTGCCGCCACCGCATGTGTTGTTCACTGCTAACTTTCGGTCTACCTCTTGGTCAACTAACTACTTTGCTTAGACATCATGCCGAAAGTCTCACAGAAGTCTCAGAAAGGAAGTGGTGTGGGGGATATAGTCTAAAGAGTGTGGCTATCAATTGGAAAAAAGTTTGGAAATACTGTAATAGGAAAAAAAAAGAAAATAAAGCCATGAATAATGTTCCTAATGGATCTATGTACATATCATGTGTCTGAGGTGTCTCCATAGGTGTGAGCGTATTAATGGAATTAATCTCGATTTAGCGAACTAGTTCACTAAATCAAGTGAAAAATAACGGAAAAATTCCTTCTGCTAAATCGAGTGTTATATCAGATTATGTATACTGTATATAAGATAACAAGTAAAATAAAAGAGTAATTTTTATGATGTCAAGCCTTTCCTAAATAATGTGTGTGTAATCAGTCCCACAGAGAACCACCTATTTAGATAGCTTTTCCCCTTGGAAACCCATATTTTAATACTTGGTCTCCTCCTCTGTACCTCCGCTCTAGTTTTACATAGACCCCCACCCCAAGTTTTTTTTTTATGAAATTGACTAATGAAATTGTAACACACCTTTACAAGTTTTCTACTTAATGTGGAATCGTATTTTTCACTTGTCCATCTCAGATAGCTTCCTTCTCCTTGACTTAATCACCTGCTCCTCCCTAGTGTCCAAAACATCAGCCCAGTCAGAGGCTTTATGATGAAGGCCTTTCATTACTCACATACTGGAACAAACAATACTACTTAAGTGGAATGAAAGAATCTGTGGATCCTTGCTACCATTTATTGGACTAATCAAGGGAAGGCTGGTCTAATAAAGCCATTTTCCAATAATTCTGATTGCAGACCTTCTTCTAGTCATATCAGACTTAGACCAAAATATAAAATGATAGTCCAAACCCAACCATTTTTGGACCTATATAGTATATAATATCTTGTGTCAATGTAACTGAAGTTTTGGTTACTATTACTGAACCTTATAGGGTATAAAAACTTCATAGGCATATTTACATTACAGGCATCCCCCATGTTACGGAAGGGTTGCGTCCCTGGAAATTGACTGTATCGCGAAATTCCATAACGCGAAACCTATTTTCCCATTGACTTCCATTATAAAATTGGAGATGCGTTCCTAAGGAATTTTTTTCGGCCCAAAAAAGTAATTCAAGCACTTTTATGAATGAAAATAAACATTTATAAACACATACAATACAGTACTGTACACTAAATAATTTATGATATAGTACATGTAATATGAAGAGAAATACAGTTGGAATAAATAAAAATATTGTACTGTACTCACCACAAAAGATGTTGACTGCTGCATGAGGATAGGTGGTGCAAAGGGAGTTATTGGGAGGGGGAGGGAGGGGCACTACTCTCTTCTGCCCTTCTGCCCTTCTTAAAACATCAAATTTAATATCTAGTGTAATGCCTTTGCGGCTTCTTTTTGCACTACTGCGGTCACACTTGGTGACCTCTTTCCAGTCATCTTGAATAAGGGTAATGCACTGTACTGTACTTACTGTATGTTTGTAAAAGTTAAATCCAACTGCTGGGGCGAGAAACATGCGCACACACTGGATGTAAACAATGGACTGACTCCTCGTGGCGAAACCACGCTTGGAGGTAGCAAACACCAAGAAATCCACACCAAACAAATTATAATTTGTAGCAAAAATTTTTAGTTTTATAGTGATTTTTTTTAATTGTTAAAATTTACCACAATTTCCATAAGGGCGGATTTACAGGCCGTATCGCGAAATTATTAGTCATAATTTACAAATTCCGTAAGAGCGAAATTCCGCAACCCGGGGTTCCGTAACGCAGGGGATGCCTGTACAGTACTAAGAAGTTTCAAGACCAGGCACATGGCATCAGGGGTTGACTGTTCCAGTACAGTATATTGATTTTCATAACTTTTTTTTTTTAGAACCTTCACAATGTACTGTAAATTACTTTTTGTACAGTATGATAAAAAAAATTAAGTACAGGTAGTTCTGCTATAACGCGATAATTGTGTTCTTGTAAAATATCGTGTTATAGAAAATCGCGTAATAGAAATAACAGGGCTTATGGAGAAAATAGGGTTAGGTGCAGATTACTCGAAATCGAAAAAATTTAGTAGTTAGCCTAACACAAAGGATAGCACGGTCTAAATAAATGTTACATTCATATCTAATAATGAAATCATACAGTAAATGTAACACTTTACTTGATGGGGGAGAAGGGTGATTTTGAGGTTGATAAAATCGAGCTTCTCTTCTAGTGTTATATCCTTTCTTTTACGATCATCACCAGGAATTTTATCACCGGAACGCTTCTTGTTGATATTCTTCTTTACTATATTCACAAAATTGGAGAAATAGTAAGCAAAAATCGCGTTATAGCAAACAAGCGTTCGCTTTATACAAATATCGTTCCTAATTCATAAATCGCGTTAGAGCAAATTCGCGTTATCAAAACACGCGTTATAGCAGAAATCACTGTACGTACAGTAAACCCCCGCACTTCCGGGCAACTAGGGGGGGAAAGGCCGTCTGGAAGTGGTAAATGTCAGTATGAACCGGGTGATGAAGGTGTGTCAACGATAATCATAATAATGTATATTGACTGTATTGTATTGATAATAACAATAACACTAATAATATGGCCTTAATAATAATAGTAATATTGGTATCAAATAATAATACAGTAATAACAACAATAATAATTATATTAGTGTATTACTCTATAGACAGTATTGTTGTTGTTACTGTATATATCATTACAGTATTATTTTAACTTACCTTCTTTTAATTTTAATACAGTAACATAATGTATTACTAACCTTTGGTGAGAGGTGCTGGAGTTTGGGTTTTGCCGTGATTGTATAGTTGGACTCATGACTGTTTAGACGTCTTTGTCAGACAGCAAGGGTACTGTAATGTCTGACGATAGAGCCAATGGTGTGGGGATAGACGAAGGGCCAGCTACAGATGAGGAGGGAGAAGTAGGGTGAGGTGTGGAAGTCATACTGGGATTGATGGGGGTTTTATGATGGATCAAGGAGTTAATCTTAGTTTGCTTATTAGTATCCAGCTGCTTCCTGCATATTAAGTCCCTCAACTCATGAAGGTGGGAGTAGTAATTCTGTAAATCAGGGTCATTTGTATTGGCATGCAGATACTCAATAGCAGTGTCAAATCCTGCCCGAACAGCTGATAACTTGCAGCAAACAAGGTCGTGTCTTTATCCTCATCGTCCTCTTCGGGGGCTGCGCAGGAAGCTGCTATCTCCTCCGTCATCAGCTGGAAACTGGGATCACCTTCATCACTGTGAAGCCATTTCAAGATATTTTCTTCAGTTATTGTGCCCTCACCAACCCCCTTCAAATTACAGTGGTAGTCAGCCACCTCAACCCCCTCAAAATCATCTGCATGATCTACGTTTTGTAACAATTTCTTCCAGCCATTAGCAAGCATCAATACCTTCACATCCTTCCATGCTGCTGCCCAATTCAAGATGGCTGCCTTGATGTCTTACTTCATCCTCCAACACGACCATGACTTTTTGCAAAAACTTCCTAATGTATATCCTCTTTGCCACATAAATGATGCCTTGATCCATTGCCTGGATTAATGATGTTGTGTTGGCAGGAAGGGAAAATGCACCATATCATGCCATCATCACCAACAATCGCATGGACATCAGGGTGAGATGGTGCAATATCAAGTAGAATAATGGCTTTAACACGATTAGCTGGAATCCTCAATATGCCCATCTGGTAACAGCATATCTCGGTGCAGACGTGCTTAAAAAAGAATTCATTGAAGATAGCCACCGTAAACCAGGTCTTGGCACTGGCATAATAATGGACGGGTAGATGATCCATTATGTCTTTGATGGCGCGAGGACACTTATGCCCATATAATTAAACATCTTCCCTTGAAGAGGGTCGTCGTGTTCCAACCCGAGTTTTAAACTAAATAAGTCCTGAGGGACACCGCAGTACAGTACATAACGGGGTGGTGTGGCGGTAAAATTAACCAATTCCAATAAAATTTATTTATAATATTGGAATTAGTTAATTTTACCTCCACACCACCCCGTTAAGTACTGTACTGCGGTGTCTCTCTCAGGACTCATTTAGTTTAAAACTCGAATTGAAACCTTATGATAGCTATTTCTTTTACTTTTGTTTTCACATTATTTATGTAGGATTGTGTGGGCATCTAACTGAGTAAAAAAAAGTGAAGAAAGTTAATTTTGTCTAACTGAAATTACGAGTTGACAAATAACCATAACATATCTCTCCCAGCACATCCTGGTAACTTTCATTGGTGCATGAAGAAATGTTTACTCCCTTTATGTTTTTGACCTTGGGATTTTATTTTATTTTATTTTATTTATTTATTTATTTTTTTATTTATTTATTTATTTTTTTTTTTTTTGCACATACACATACAAATACTGTACAACTGACAAAATGTAACAGAATCAATAGTACTGTACCTGAAATCTGGGGATGAAGGAATGAATAGTTTTAATAAATTTTTTCCTATTTAGCAAAATATTAATTTTTATTTTATTCTGATGTTATTCCCAAACAACAACTGGTACAGAGCCTTTGTCTCCCCAATTTACATTGACTCAGGTGTGGCCAATGTATGAAGTAGCTCAATCCCTTTCCTGGAAATATTCACTGGACCTGTGGTTATTTTGATGAAGGGAAGTTAATATGTTGGTTAGCATATTATTAAGAATTTAAGGTAGCATAATGTGTCATGCTTTTATTGTAAAGTCGTTTACAGTTAAATGAATTATGAAATAGAACTTAAGAGTCTCAATATATTTTTCACAAATCTTTTGTGCATAAATATCAAAATATTTTTCTCATGTTTGCAGTGACATGCTTTTAGTACAGTGGTCAAAATATTAAGGATATTCGTGCATTTAATTTCCACCAATGATTTTGAAAGGTAAATATATTTTTTTATTGATTCCTAAAATATTGAAACAGTAATGTTATTGCCGCCCTCATACGCCGCGACCTCTGACTCCCATGTGGCAGCGCCTCACCAGTTGTTTGTGGAGACACAGTAACCATTTCGTTGTTATGATCATAGGAGTTAAGTGGAGCTATAAGCCCGCACACATGAGTGAAAGAACACAGTGATTGTTCGTAGTATGGTGAAATGTTGTGAACTACATATGTGTATAGTATAAGGCAATTTGTATAATAACCATACAGAATAGTGTATTTACTAACTAATGTATAATGTATACATGTAATGGAATGTAATCAGTAGTTAACAAGTGTCTCGCTTTTACAGGATTTGACCATATCAATCAATAAACGTTGAGTGAGTCCACGTTGTGGGTTTCTCTCACCCTTAAGACGTGACATCATTTAGCTGTCAAACGATTCGGCAGTTATAGATAAAGTCTGTAAAACCTGCTAATATATATAAATACTGTAACAAAAATTCCTCTCATTTTTTCACTAGGTGGAATACATGAAACGCCTGGCCAGAGAGGCAGCAGCAGCAGCTAATCCTATGCTAAGTCCTGAGGTACACAGAATGGCTCAGCAGGTCCAGGAAGTTCTGCCACATATTTCCCTTGAACAAATTAAGAGAGATTTAGGTAAGTTATTACTCAATCTCACATATTTCTTCCAAAGTTAAGTTAAAAGCAGTTTCTTGATATCTTCCATGATAGTACTGTATAGTACATTCCCACTGCAACACTTGCATCCACATCCCCTGAGCAGTACAGAATACTGTATAAGAGAAGATCTTTAACTCCATCAGATGTGTGACAGTGGCCCATTTGTAACCTTAATTTGTCTCACTAATCTGAAAATCATCAAGAACTGAAAAGTAGGAAAGTTATGCCTAATTGTCCTAGCTCATATTTTGTAAACAATTATATTGCATACAATTTGAAGTTTCACACCAAAGATTTTATGCGTAATGACAAGACACCATCACCACTCATTTGATTAGACTTTCAAAATAAAAACATATGGAAATTTTATTAATGAAAGAACAACCAATGTCACTAAGTTATGAAAAAATTTGAGTTGTGCTATAATAGATTTGGGTAGAATTAATTAGATTTATTGACTGTTCATTTATTTTGTGCATGAATCATACAAACTTAAATCCAGAATAATTGGATACTGAATTATGAAATTTGGATACAGTATTCAATTTTGCAAACACAAACATCTGGTAACAGGCACTATGGCACACTAGTTCCTATGGCTCTGCCACACTTACTGTGTTTTATCAAAATTAAAATTTCTTTGGTAGTGTTCATGGCTTTTTAAGGGATATGACTGCTGGTGTGGGTTTTATAAGTGTAAGGTAATCATTTATTACTAAGCCTGTTTAGATGTCATTACAGTGGGGTCTCATTTTACACGGTTCTCACGTGCACATTTATTGTTTTGCGATTGGTTGAAATGTGACCATGGTTGTCGTTTACAAAGGTAGCGGTATAGCATTAATTTAGTGATCTTTTGCTTATTTAGGTTAATTCATTGAACAGGGGGCTCTGGGTCACTCAAATTACTGAAAATAAAAACAATGTTTGGGAGATGGCAAGTGGTGGCAACATCGTTAGGGAGAGCAGGAACGATCAGCTGATACCGGTCTGTACTGTAAACAAGAGACTGCAATAACTCATCTTGGATTGAGCGTTGGATTTTTGGGGGAAAATTAATTATTTTTTGATGATGTTTTATTAACCCAGCACCAAATGAACCTAAATAATAGGGAATTATGTTGAAATTGCATGCTGTCAATATAAAGGGATCACAAGGTGACGAGTGCGGGATGTGGTGAGTTGTACCCCCTCCTCTGCCACCCCTCACCGACAACACACCCAAACGTAGTTTTATATCTTAATATAATTCATAATTTATTCTTATAATTTATTCATCTAAATTTAAGATATTACTATAATAATAATAATTGACTTTTCGGAATTGAGCCAAAATCCGAATTAACGAGGGTACAATACTGTATATTACTTTCGTAGGTAGTAGGCAGCTATCAAACAGGGAGGTACTACCACCTGGGAAGTATTAGAAGCATGATGTATTGTCTAATGGTAGACCCTGCTGCCATATGGCATCAAAAAAATTGTGACCAAGTCCCAGGTTACTGATCTGACTTTCTGCCTCATTTACACACAATTTCAGGGTCTCAATTGTTTCTTTTACTACAGTATTGACAATACAGCATTTTTTTTTTTTATACACAGGGAATAGCCCACCCTCGTACAGGTCATCGACCCACAACGGGGCCTGTGTGTAAAAAAAATAAGAGTAAAAATAAATTAAAAATAGAAAAGAAAAATATTACCTGTGTATTCTACACCACGAAGATGCCGGAAAACCAGCTTTTTGAAGTGAGACAGATTGTACGAGTATAGAAACACTAAAGAAGGCAAAGCATTCCACCGTTTGGCTGTGTGAGTAAAGAAGGATGTACAGTGGGGTATGCTATAACGAATCTAATTGGTTCTAGAACCTTGTTCGTTATAGCATTCGTTCGTTATAGGATTAATTCGTTCCAGGCCCCCAAATACAACCACTTAACACTGAAAAATATAATATAAAATTGTAAAAATTGTAAAAAAGTGCATAAATAAGCATCTAAACCCCTGAAATAAAGAACATCATTAATACTTGTAATAAAAAAACAATAAATTAGTAAAAAAAAAAAAGAAGAAAAAAGAATTTTTTTTTTCTAAATAATGTTCGTTGTAGGAGTTTCGTTCGTTATAGCAATCTCAATTTTATAGGTAAAACCGTTCGTTATAGGAATATTCGTAGTAGGATCCGTTCGTTATAGCATACCCCACTGTACAGTAGCTAAAACAACTATCTGTGCATACTTTGTGGGAAACAATATGAGACCATGGACGATAAATTTTGGTATATGAGGGCTGTCACTAATCACACATAAAATTTCGGAGCATATCGACCCCCCACCTGCACGGATACCGGGTAGTTGCTTTAACTACTGTACTATAATGGGTTATTTAGTGTGACCAACAACCACAGAGAAACTGAACACCACAGGCAAGATGAGTGCTACGAGCCCACTGCCTTGCCGGCGGTACTAAAGATGCTAAATCCACCGAACATTGCCCGTTAAAGTACCTCTAAGAGAGAGAGAGAGTGAAGCAACATTGCAGCGAAGAGAAAGGGAAGAAAGATTATCAAGTAAAGGAGGATTGTCAATAAAGCAAATTGCCTTTGATTCCACACTATCTAACAGTTGGATGGAAGAAGAGCCACCCCAAATATGAGAGCGGTACTCCAAGTTAGGACGAATGAATCCCTTATATACTTGAAGCAACTGCTCAGGAGTGAAATAGCTAAGGCATCTGTACATACTGTATATGCTGATAACCACAAGAAAACACGAAGTTCCCAAGCGCTTTCGTGTAATTCACATCTAGGCTAACATTATGTCTGTGAAAAAATTAAATACAACTAACATACAGCATATAATAATGACTTTATTCACAGTAAATCAGATTTTCATAGAAATCACTTACAATGGCTTGTAAATATATTGACAATACCATGTGGATACTGACTCATCCATTATGCAAGTTTTTCTTGACTTTTGTGCAGCAAAAATCCTCACAATTTCTTTGAAAGGTAATGATCATGTGAGATCAAATTCTGTTGACAGGATTCAAATATTGCTCAACTTTTTGTCTGAGAGGCTTGAACCCCATACAGTTCTTAATCCTACCCATGCGTGAAAAAGAACATTCAGCCTCACAGACTGAAACACCAATGGGCAGGAAATGTACTTGTAGCCAAAGGATGAGCAGTCAGATACTTCATCACTTCCCTTAGGGTCTTTGACGAGTTGATGGCAGGTAATGGTACTGGCACTCTTTGGAGCATGAATCACAACACCTATGGTAGTCAATAGGTAAGCACCAAATTGTTCAAATTGAGCATAGCAGTCTTCTACCAATTCACTTAGGTAAGCAGCCAAGAGATCTGCAACTGATTCTGGAAGAGGATCTTTAGTTGTAAGCAGGAATACGCACCTGAAGGTCTTTTGAACAACTGTGTAAGCACTGTGTCACTCTTCGGTTGCCTGAGATCAGCGTTCAACTACGGGAATGTAGCTCTCAATAAAAAAATTTGTAGAGCCACTCAGCATCACGTCCTCCGAGCCACTGTCATCACTCATATTCTTCGATCTTCTGACCCTTGATTTTTATAGTACTCTGAGATGTCAGGCATTGTTTGTCTGGCAGCTGTTTCAAACTTGTCAAATATTTCTCTCAGGTCTCTAATGAATGCAGCTAATGATTCAAATGTGAAACAAGCTTCTTGCAGATCAAGGTCTTCAGTTTGAAGGATTGCACTTGAATTTTGACACATGAAGGATGTCTCCAGTTGTGTAAATTTTCAGCTAAAGATGAAGCCTTGATTCGTGTGTCAGGCGGTTGTGATGTGTCTTCACCCATATCACAGAACAAATTACAGAACTTGATAATTTCTGTCAACAGCTCGCACTGCTTCATAGTGACAGCACCAGCGAGTGTCACTGAGAGTCTTGAGAGTTAATACTTTGGTGTTTCATGCTGAAGAAATCCCATCATCTAGCTTTGACCACCGTTTAGGTGAAGCTGCAGCAAATGAATACAGTTCTTGAATGAAGTAAAAAAAACTTTGCTGCTTCGAGACAGCATTCTTCACTTGCTGCATCAACTAAATTCATATGAATTAATTTTGTTAACCTCTATTTGTAGCCTAGCTTACTTCCCTGACATATTGCTGGCATTATCGTATGTTTGGCCATGGCCATCCATGATATCTAAGCCAAACTGTTGCAAAGCACGAAGTACAACCTTCAACAACTCTGCTCCTTTATGGCTTTTGATGGCAAAAAATTAATAAATCTATCAACTACTTTACCATCTCCATCTATGTAGTGAACCGTAAATGACAGCTGGTCAGTATGACTCAAGTCACATGTGGAGCCCACTGAAAATGAATAGTATTTGGCTTTCTCTCCAGATAGTTGATGAAAGATAAATTGGATGGCCATGCTGTTAGTTACCAAATCTAATAAGGTGATCAGCTAGGAAGCTCTCAAATTTTGCTAACAGCTCCATAATGCCAAAATATGGGAGGGGGGGTGCTATGCCATGGCATAACTAGCATATGCCTTAACCAGGCCCTGTCTACCATCACCATACAGTACAACTTACTCCTCAAACCCACAAGTCAGCAGAACATGATCTGTAAAGTCTTCCAATCCTGCCTTTTTCCTCATTCTCCATTACTCACCTCATGGGCAGAGTTTCACAGGTGAATTATGGTGGACAAGAAACATGCATAAATTTTTAAGTACAACTCCTGACTGATTGAAGAGTATGACCAGGAACTCGGGGAGACACAGGAATAATAAGTATCTAGTGTTCGTATACCCCTGTAAATGTATTTCGTAGTCGTTTCTGTGATACTGTTGGGGATTATTTTTCCTTCAACAGAAAATTATCATTTTCCTATATTGCTTGTATCTTTATCTTTATCCACAGTATAGAATTATGATGAATTTTATTTGATGTTTGGGCAGTGCATGTGTACTGTGTTGGTTAGGGTCACCATACTTTTATAAAATTTAACAATTTACAGTCTCAGGATTTATAAAAATATTAGATGAATCCTGTAATCTAATTCTTGTAAAACTATTTGTTGACATTAATTAAAAAAAAAATTAATAAATGTTCTGGTGGCTAATAATAAGTTTGATGATTTCCAGTCCATACTCAGAATGTTGACCTAACCATCACCAACTTTTTGGAGGGCAATGTACCTGAGCCAGTGCCTGAACCACGACCCATCACTCCAAGTCAGTCTCCTCCTGGCCCAAGTGTTCATTCAGTTGTGACAGCAAGCAGTTCCACTCCCTTTGCCATGCAGTCCCATGGAGCGTCTCTTACTTCCAATGCTTTTAAGGCAACTTCAGAAGGTGGTACTCCTCCTGGAGGAATGTCCAATGCCTCAGTAGCATTAAGTACAGCAGCAAAATCATTTGGAAAATCTGCATCAGATAGAATGACTTCTTTCCAGACTAGAAAAGCACAGCTGATAGAGAATGCTAGGAGAAAGTATATTGAAAAGCATGGGCTACAAATACCTGGCTACAATTGCTGACAAACTGTGAACTAACTATTTTCTCCATTGTTTAGAATTCAGATGTATCAGCCAATTTTATGTATAGCTGCTCTTGAAAAGGGTTTGGTTGTATAATAAGATCCCTTGTTGATAGAACTTACATAAAGTATGTCATGTCCGGGGGCAGTTAATTTTTTTTTCTCAACATTTTCTCAGGTCCAATTAATACTGAATGCACTTTTTGAGGCTACACCAAAACCCAGGGAAGGAAATGGTAAAAAACTTAACAGTAAAGTAGATGACCTCTTTGATGAATCACAAAACTTGAAATAACGATGATAAGGATTTGAAAGAGTAAATGCAAAATAAAACATTAGAAATAACTTAATTTTAGCTAAGATATCTATTTTATATAAAATTTCTGAATTTGATGAAACTGATAGAAGGAACAGTTTTCAGCTGCAGTATACTTTTGTCATGGTCTTTCCAATTTTTTCTCACACACACACACAAACCATAGTTGGAAATCCAACATTAAAGGCAGTTTCACACCAGAAGGTATGTGAATCACGCTACGCATGCAATGGTAGCTATATGTGCTATGTCATCCTCACACAAGAAGACACGAATCTCAAACTATGCTCTCAGTAACGTTTAGTCAGTCAAGATGGTCAATTGTGATTCACATGAGGAAATTCTACTGCTGACACTGGAAATGGGTACACCAAATAAATATGGAAATACAAAAGTTTGGTGAGTACCATCATCTAGTACAGGAGCTTCCTCACTACCCCATTAAGTTCAACCATCTTCAAATATTTCCACTACTGGTGCACAATCGGGCATGACGGTGTGGGATAGCTGTGACCCTCCTCCACCTGCCACCTCAGTGTGGAAGTAAAAGGAAACCTTCTACTATTCATACACAACCAAAGCTATGCTGAGAAAAATTGCTCATCAGGCAATCTGAAGCTATGTGACTCGGTCATGTGGTACATGGCATACGTAGCATAGCTTCAGGTGTGAGTCACTTAATTAAATAACCACAGCAGCAATTCAAAGACATGTAGCGCATATGCGTAGTAGCATGGTCCGCGTAGCTTCTAATGTGAGACGGCTTAAAGACATAAAGCTTCAGTGAAAGAATTTTAAATATTAATTTGGATGCCACAGAAAGAGTTAATGGGATTTTTATAGTGAAATGAATAATGCATTTAAAAGAATTAGGATATTCAATATGTTTTTGAGACAGGTAAAGAAAAAACTGGGATGCAGTTTTCATTCTGCTTTGAGACAGGATGTTACTTCACGTAGAGTGCACCGATAAGGTTGTGCCAAACCTACACTGTAAGTTATTTTATCTTAGTTGGGAGTACAGTAAAACCTCTATTTAACGGACTATATGGAGAGGAAAGTCAATTTTATCGAGGGTCTGTTAAATGTGAAACCCCCCCCCCCCATTTAACAGAGTATATGGGGAGTGAAGTCCATTATATGGAGGTTTCACTGTATTGTACTTTGTGACAGAAAGAGATAGAATTAACTGGTTTATAAAGTCTGTAAACAGGTACTTTTATGAGTAGGATTCACAGCATAAGAACTAAAAATCGCAGATCGTGTAATGTATCGAGAATGGAGACTATGGAGAAAAATTTTCATTTTGTGCAAGTCTAAACTCTTTCCACATTTTACATTCACCCTAGGCAATTTGATACTTCACATAATGCAGGATGAGGCCTAAAAATTTGATCCAATTTTTTTTTGTTTACACAAGATTCTTTAATTCATTTTTAGCCCTGCAAGTGGTGGTTGGCTGATAGCCGAGATAAATGCTCAAAATTTTGAATCTAAACGTTAACCTGTTTGCAACTAACAGTATTTCTGGCTTGAGCCTTTTGTGTAGATTCATGGAATTCCATGGCTCTTTTATCGAAAATCTTCTACATGTGCTGTATTGAGAGCGAGGCAATTTTGTAAAAAAATAAAAATAAAAATAAAAATATGGGTGCGCAAGGTCAAAGCTCTTTGAAACAATAAATTGTTTTAAAGATTTTTTTTTTTTTCAAACTAGGCTTATGTTGGGCTTTTGTACATACAAATGGTTTTTAGAATGCCAAATTAATGTCATTCATTAAGCCAGTCAGTTGTTGACTTGTAAGTTTATGCCAAATATACTGACAAAACACAAACATTGCAGTAATTATCCACTGCAGTTACACCCTGTAAAAAAAAATTTGCATTTGCATGATATAATTGCATCATTTTATAGCAGTAAATGGAAGTTCACCCTGTCTTTGGTATATATTAATCAGATAATGTATAAACAAAATACAGTACAAAAATTTATTACAAATTTGGGCAGGAAATATGATGATTTCAAAACACTTAGCTTGCAATTTATAGGTGCAAAATATTTGCAGCTCAAAAAAGTACTTAACAAATAAAACAATTTCAATAGCTTGATATTAGCTTTGTCAGTGATATTTTTAAAGTGGTTCTTAGTCACTTTATGTAATTCTGTCTAACTTTATGAAAACACAGAAAAAAACTTTTACTGTTAAACTAGTCATGAAATAATTTTTGAGAATATAATGTAATCATAACTCATAATGCATGACAGTGATGGGTTGAAGGAGTTAGTATTGAGATCAGATGACTCCCTTCTTTAATAAAAGTTCAAAAAGTCGTTGAAAAAAGTACACAGCTCCCCTCCAGTCAGAGTCTGTCAGTGTAAAAATACTTTGATAAATACCTTGAAAGGAATGCCTGTATTTTAACAAGTAAGACTTTAGAAATACATCTGTTTAGAAATTTTCATCTAACTGCATCTTTATTCATCCCTTATAGTACTTGAAGTTAAATTTTAATTTGTAAATTATGTAAATATATATAATGTACAGTATGAGGCTTGATCTATAACCCTTGACCAGTTGTAATGATTTTACTTAAAGTGACAGAAATACCGAAAGACTGTACCCTTAAAACTTGTCGTCATAATATGTCCATTGCGATAATCATTTTCCATTCTCAGCTATATCAGTGAAGAGGTGTACCATGCCTCAAAAAATAGAATTATGTTATATAATAAACACTCAGTTTACCAAAGTCCCATATGCAGTTTTTTTTATAGCATACCAAATACTTTTAAACCCAAAATTTGATTTGTAAAACCTCCATTCTATTTACTTTATGTTGTGGTACAGTATATAATTACAGTAGACTCATTTTTCTAGTTTATGCATTGATCAGAAACTGAATCCATCTAAACCTTGAACAAATACTGTTAGTGTACAGTGTCTTTATACAGTAAACCCAGAGAATCCAAACTTCAATAATCCAAAAACTTCGATAATCTAAATTTCAGAGCTGTGGCTAGCTAATGAGCCTTTCAACTCTGTCCGTCAACCATGGTATGCATGTTATGTCAGCATTTTTTTCATATAATTATCTTGATTAAACCCATCTCATTTAACCCTCTGAGAGCTATGAACGACTTTAGGGATTTTATTTTTGCGAATACTAGACAATTTTATTCAGCTGAGGGGAACCCTAAGCAATTAGATGGTTAAATTAACCCATCAGACATAATAATGCTGGTTAATCTTCAGTGAGGGTAAGACACCTAAAAAAGCATGTTACATTGACAATTAATCAAAATAAAGTAGGATCTCAAGTTTAACTTTTGGATTCGCAACTCCTAAGTTTCGCGTCACTTAAAATTTCCATCCTCTCAAGAATAGCAATTTTCATTACCAGTTTCGTGAGTCATTGTTGAGTGGGCAGCGCGCAGTGTCATGGTCTTTTGTTATCCGTCAACCCCCCCCCCCCCGGCCCCGAGTAGTTTTTGTTTACGGCAGTTAGTTTGAATGAGTGAGCGGTGCAGTGACCTTGGATTATATAACCCATTGTGCTTACGTTTCACGAGATTCTTGTTTAACTATTAACGATGAGTGAGGTGCATAATGTAAATGTCGGGAGCGGTTTTGGTGGTAATGATGGTCAAAAAGCCAAGCTTGACTACCGTAAGGAGGTCAAGAAGAGGAAATACACCCATGAAATGAAACGAGAGATGCTTGAAATGATTAAAAGTGGTGCTAGTACCTGTGAAATCATGCATAGATTCAACTGCCCCAAATCAACCATACGTTCCCTTAAGAAGAACAAGAAAATCTTAACTGCTTCTGTGAATGTATTCTCAAGATTTTCTAGTAGCAGGACGTTCTCCGGTACCTCACAACGAAACCTACTGCTTGTTATCACAGAACATTACCTTCACAAGTAAGTGGAAAGAAGAAACCGTGAGCAAGGCGACCTGTCTGGGCCACAGATAAGGTATCAAGCACGTGTTTATTACGCTGCAGTTGCACTGAAGAAATGCATTAATTCTCCACCACCATTCAATGCTTCTGTTGGTTGGTTGGCTGCCTTTAAGAAACGTTTTGAAGTCAAGTTTCGCCACTACCATGGGGAGAGCGCATCGACTGATGTCATAGCAGCAGAAAATTATCTACCTGTCTTTCAAGCTCTTGTGAAAGAGGGTGGTTACTGCTGAGACCAGATCTTCAATTGTGACGAAACTGACATTTTCTGGAAGCGTTCACCTAAGACCACTTTCATAGCCAAGGATGAAAAACAGGCAATGGGTGTAAAGACTTCAAAGGACAGGATTACAGTTTTATTCACAGCTAATGCGAGTGGAAATTTATTGATGAAACCCCTAGTTGTTAACTCTGCTGCCTGTCTTAGAGCCTACAGTCATGCCAATATGTCACAGCTCAATGTTTATTGGACGTCTAATAAGAAAGCTGGGGTTACAATGTCTTTATGCACCGATTAGCTTGACAAGCACTTTGTTCCTGACGCCCAACAGTACTGCTGGAGGAATAACATTGACTTCAAAGTGTTCTTGGTGATGGATAATGCTCCTGGACACTCTTAAGTTTCTAATTGGACGCCACCCTAATGTACAAGTTATCTTCTTTCCTCCTAACACCACATCGCTTCTGCAGCCTCCTGACCACGAATTCATCAGTAATGTTAAACTGTTCTACTATCAGTCACACTAAAGACTTTCGTCAGCAGACAGACTCATTAGTTGAGTTACAAATCGAGGCAGAACTCTGACAGTGACCAGGCTCTACCAGCTAACCAGGAGGAGATGGTAGACGACCTGACTCCTAGCACCTCACCACCCTGCAACCGTGAAGTGTTATCAGTTTGTGAACTTTGGAAGAAATATAGCATAAAAAATGCAGTGGACAGAATTGTTGAGGCATGGCATAAGATTAATGTTGTAACAGTGCTACACTCATGAAAGCCTTTGTTCGCTAACTCCATGATAAATGGGGCAGAGCAGACCGAAGCAAACAGGGAGAGGCTGTCCATTGCGGCAACACAAATGGACAGTGGATGCAGCGCGGTCAGTCCCAGCACCGGGATTTTCAGATGTTCAGGTTGAAGATTTACAAGAAAACGTTGGTCAACATCCGCAGCAATGACAATTGAAGAATTGTTGGAGGAGGATAAAGAACAAGAAGAACAGCAACCAACACAAGAGAATGACGTTAAGCCTGATGAACCTACAACACGGCAGCTGACTGAGTTGCTCACAAACATCGCACGTCTCGGTGAACTGCTAGAAGAATACGATACCAGGCCTCATCCTCGGAACCTTATGTGCCCTGCCCTTGATAAGGGTATGGAGGAATATAAGGCTTGTACATGTCCCATGTTAATGCTTGTCAGCAGGCCCTTATTACTCGGTACCTGTGCAAGTCCCAGCCTGTTAATGCCTTGGTAAACATCACTTTAGGAGATGATGATGGCACTACCGATGATGATATTGAAGTTTTGGGTGACTTACTGGTGGAAGAGCTGCCTCAAGACTTCGAGGGATTTGATGCTGAGGTTAGAGGAGGAAGCAGTAACCAGCCCTCCCTGCCTCAGAATCCATCAACCAGCCCCGTCAAGCATTTCACCAATTCCATCAAGGTAAGTTATTCTACAGTATGAGTGTAAATAAATATTGTTATCAACAATATGTACAATACATTACAGTACAATACAAAACAATACATTACAGTAATTTTATTTATTTATTTATTTTATTTTTTTATTTATTTTATTTTTTATTCGGCACCCCCCTACATCCTTGTGTAAGGTGAAGCGCAGAAGCGTTTACAGCGCCAAACAGGGAAGCATGCTAAGTTCATGCTTGCCTTTATGTCTCATGAGTTAAGGGCGTAGAAGCCTGAAGAGTCAATGGCTTATGTCTAAGCAAATTATTGGAAACTCCAACAACTTGTCCCTGAATACAAATTCGCAACTTTCGATTTACAGTAGGTACCTACTTTGCTGCTAGGTGAACAGGGACCAAGGGAGGCTGGGATGTGTGTCCGAACAACTTTCCACTGGCCCGGGAATCGAACCCGCGACATCTCGCTTGCAAGGCAAGAGCGGTACTGTTCCACCCACCGGCGCCCCATTACAGTAATGTCATTTTCTTGGTGGGTTGTAGGTCATTATAGGGGGGTTTTTGGGTGACACCGCAGAACTGATTAGGCTTATTTACATGTACAGCATTTCAATGTCAGTCGTTTCACGATTTTAACTTTCGTTACGCTAAAACCAGTACCAATTAGTCGCGAAACTTGAGATCCTACTGTATTGAAATTATAACCAAGCTTGAACTTGGTGTTAGATGGTTGATGTTGTGAAAGAATATTTTATTGGTGTAAATACTGTACCCAGTACTGTTCATGTTATAAATAAACAGGACAGATTGAGATCTTTCATTACAAATACTGGCAAAAGAAAGTGTTAAAGAGGCTAAATTTTAATCCATTAGATGAAGTTTTGCTCAAGATGTTCATGGACAGAATGTCTGAAGGTAGTCTTGTGTCTTGTCCTATATTAACCGAGAAGGCTAATCAATTTTATACGGTACAGTAATACCCCCATAATTCAAAATACTGTAATAGAACCTCTGCCCCAAACAAAATTGAAACGCTTCTAAGTACAGTACCTCTGTACCAGATTCAGGTGCTTGGTCCATGGTTATCAGATATAATGACTCAAACACTGGGCAAAGGTGGAAAAACAAATGGATAAAAGCTTGCGCAGTAAATCGTAAATGTACACTCTACGACTGACTAACGTGAAGTGACTGTGACTCACAGGTCTGACACGGTGACATGAATAGTACTTAGTGTACACTAAGACGGACGGTCGCATCTCATGGTGATATGTGCATCATATATATTCATAAATGTATGTCTAATTTGAAATTTTGCCAAATATCACCCCAAAAAATTATTATTATATATATATCTCATACAGTATTTGTAAATTTTACCAAATACTATGAAATTTTCATTATATATTTCGTAACAGCAAAATTTTACGGATTTCTGCTTTATCCGGACTGACAAACCACTCCAGACTAATTTCTGTTAATCCAGATTGAGTTCAGATTAACATGAAATGGTCCAGATCTATGGTGGCAAAAATAAATAAACACTTTTGAATCACTTGAATCACTAACCTGCAGTAAATTCTTGTGCATACTGAGTATACAGTATTTATCACAAAGTTGGTGATGCTCTTGATGGTTGATTTTTTCAAGTAATATTTCTCTTATCAAAACTTTTGCACACACCTTTCCAATGATCTTCCAGAACTGCTAGCGTGTCCTTCAAGCTAAACTCCTTTTCTGGCCCTCTTCTGATTTTCTTTTGAAGTTGTCTTACCTTTGGAAACCATGGTAATTAGTCCACAAAGTCACAAATAGTCCACAGGACTTAAGAGATGCACACA